ACATGAAGCACTCAAATGTAATACCTTATTTGTTGTTTGTTTGTTTGTTTAGAGTAATATGAGTATGCCTCAGTGAACTGACAGGACTTGTGAAAGTCAGCCAACTTCCCTCCATAACAACCACTTCCTGCAACAAAAGTTATGAGTGATGAAGAGCTTGTGTTAGAGGGGGGTTTCACAAAACAGGAGGACCTGAAAGGATGTTTCAATTAGAGACATTGTGATATCCTCTACTGTGAGGTCCATTGATCACTGCAGTGAATCCACCCTCCAAGAAGAGCAAGGAGATTATTATTTTCTTCTTCTCTAATAGGTGACAAAACCCACAGTGTGATGGTTTTGCTTTCTGCCCTCTCCTCTCTGTGTCTCTCTGTCTTCACCCTCTCTTTCTTTCATACTCTCTTCCCTTCCTTTATTCTCACTGGGAAAAAGAAGAGAAATAAAGGAGATTGAAGGAAGGTGCTTGGTACACGTCAGACAGGCTTTGCAGCCTCTCTCCTTTCATCTCTCTGGTTTGAGGGCTTTGATTATGGAACAGTCTCTCATATTATCAAGAGCTGGCTAGCTTTTCAAATCATGAGAGCCAACAATATGTGTGGAAATGACACTCAATTGGCAACATAAAAAAACCTCCAATAAAAAGGTGCAGCCTATTAATTACTCTAGACAAACCCATGCATATCCCATTCTGTTTCTCAAGCTAGCTAGCTAGAACTAATTCCTGCTAACTTCAGTATATATTGTTAACTTTAATGTATTCACAGTGATCCACACTAAATTTACTTTCATTATATGTCACCAGCCTTAATTCATTGTCCTTTTCATATATTATGCTGTTATACTCTGGAGAAAGCCACATTTCCAGGCTATAATTCTACGTAAATCAGTACAATTTGATTTCTCTTTTTTTGTTAGTTTCTTCAAGGCTACTGCCTTTATGTCCCTACAGGCTTCATAACAATACGATTTGTGTGCCCCAGTCTAGCACTCAGTCCCACTATGAAGTGACCTCCATAATACAATATAGTTAACTTTGAAGATCAAATTACATATCCTTCTGACATAAATATGTATTAATTTCTCTGCTTCCCTGGGAGAAAAGAAATGATTCATTTGCATTTTTGATATTGATTTTCAGAAAAGATTCCTGGGAACATATCAACTCCTGCCAAACGGTTCAAACTAAGAGTTTTGTGGTGGGGTGGAGGAGGACAGAAACAGTGGGTGTGGCGAAAGGCCACAGAGATGTGTTTAAAAAGAATGCAGAATATTAAATAGTGGAAAATACAGGGAAGATTGTGCTATGGGTCATGGTAAATGCAAAAGTGGTTCAATAGTGGGGTCCTGGCTGTCCCCTATTGGAGTGTGATACTGTTACTACTGCTATGGCCATGTGGGACACGGGGCACTCTATTTCCCTTCTTAGTATTTATTTAAACTTTTTATTTAAAATATAATGTCTCTCTAAGGTCTCATCACACATCCACTGTTTTTCCTTGCTCACCCAGCCACAGTGCTCAGTGAAATAATTGAAATAATATTTTATTTCCCCTTCCTTTCACAAGTTCACAGGTTCTTATAATCGTTGAATGGTATAGGAAATAAACATTTTATTTGCTGTCCTTGGTGGAAGGCTTGAGCTCGTGATTTGACCTGAAACTGAAAGTACCCTCCTGGGGTGGCAGAGGGATGCCAGAAAACAGTTTAAAGACTTCCTCTGATGCTGAAATGAGCACCAAATCAGCATGTTAGAAAGATTTCTGAAGGATGATATATGACACTGAAGACTAGGGTAATGACTGCTGACAGTTCAGCTTAGCCATTACAGGATACATTTTAGAATATATTAAAATAGAAAATGGTTATTTTAAATTGTAGTAGTATTTCACAATATTTGCTGTAGTTTTCATCAAACAAATGCAGCCTTGGTCAGCATTATAAACTTGTTTCAAAAACATGAAAAACACTTACAGATCCCAAACTTATGAAAAAGTATATTTTAAATAAATAAATACATAAACAAATAAATACACACACACACACACACACACACACACACCTGTCACGGCGCGACCACAACAGCTTGAAGTTGTCTAATTTGTCTAGTTGTCTCCCTCCTACAATAAAAGTAGTAAGGCTTTCCTCTGTGTATACTTATCCTTACAAGTACAGTTTTAGCTGTATTATATGTGTCCCCTTCAAAAATTGCTCTTGAGAAATTTTATGTTTATTGTCCGCCCCAACTGTTAGACAAAATGTATGCCCCTGGATGTACAATTCAGAATCTCGCCAGAAATAGTCGGTCAATAACAGGTCAAAAACACAGATCCATTGAGGAAATTAACAAGTGAATCTCTTTATGAGTGATTTGTTCAATCGCCTCTACTGTATGTTGTTTGAAGAAGCACAAGTTGATTCTTCTCTGTTTTCCTTCGTTTGGATATTCAGTGAAACAGTATAACAGCATGATATTCAATATCACGCTCTTGCTATTGTGATATTGCTTAAATCTAAAATTTTGAATGCAGAGATAACATTTTAAGGAATCCTTTAATGATTTAGAGGGGGGAAATCCCAAAAAAATAAACATCTGCTGCTGTCAGTGGAGTTTAACACAAATTACATGCCACATACTTTGATGGCTTGGTTTGGGAGGGGGCAATCTCACAGCATGGATGAGGTTTCTGTTCTACACTGTGCTTAAGAGCTTGCATCTTTACTAAAGTAACAACGACAGGGTCTAATGTGGCCACAGCTGAATAACAAAGAGGGAGATAAAGAGAATGCATCAAATATTAACATGACAAAGAAGATAATTAAAATGAAGTAGAGAAAATGTTGTGTAAGGTAACAAAAATAAAAAATAAATAAATACATAAATTAAAATAAAAAAAAAAATAAAAAAAGCCAGAAGAAGAGGAGAAGGTTGCATGGAGGAGACTTTTGAACCTTATAGCACTTAAGGCTGTGATGTGAGTCAAAGACTTGAACAAAGATTTTTGGTTGCAAAACATAAGAGATCACTTATTGAGCTGATACGGGTATAACTGCTGACACTGCAAGTGTGTCTGAAAATGAGAGAGAGCATACGCGTGTATGTGTGTTTGTGTGTGTGTGTGTGTGTGTGTGTGTGTGTGTGTGTGTGTGTGTGCCAGACCTCTGATGACATCTGTCAACATTTGATGTCCTTGAAGGGCAATTATAATGAGCAACTCCTCTGTTCGAATGGAACATGAAACGTGAATGCATGCAAGTAGTTTGGCGAAGTGAAGAAATATGAACTGTGCTATTAATAAAATAGGGGAAAGGAATTGTAAGATTCTTTGTACAAGATTTTCAGTCAGTCTCTCTCTTGCTTTCTCTTGTTCCCTGTCTTGCTACATACAATGCTGCTGTGTGATTTATTTATTTATTTATTGTTAAAATACTTTCTCTTGTCCAAGCTTAATGTGCAGAGATGACTAAAAGTCAGTCAATTGTAGGTTGATTTCCCAGAAATTTTCCCAGATTTCCCTGTAAACACTATCAAAACACTCGTCAGTATATGACTCATGGACATAAAATGACTGAGAGAAAAAGAGGAAGGAAAGAGGAAAAGAGTTTTTGGGATGGTGAGAGAAAGAGAGAGAGAGGAAGAAAGACAGAAAGAAAGCTTCTCCCCATGCAGCACACACACTAATCTAGTCTATCTTGGTTGCCTAGTTACAATAAAACTAAGTTGATTTCACAACACTTTCCCATGAGTAAGTCCACCATAATGACATTTTTGGGGGGCAAAAGCTGTTCATCACTATCATGACACTGGCACACTGTATACACACTCTTGCAAACATGCACACTTCCCTGGCTCACACCTTCACACATCTGTCTCTTGAAGTTGAGGACAAATGATCAGACTCAGCACACAGTACACCAGCACTGAGCATGTATGTATAATATTTTTGTATAGTAATATAAATATGCAACCTTACCTTGTATAGTGTGCATTCAAGGACCTACTATTTGTGTGACATAAGGGATAATGTACATCCAGCCGGTTGTTATTGCAGAATAAACCCTGACTGGGTGATCGTCTTTAAGCGAAGACACAACATTCAAACAAGACATGAAGACATATAACAGTATGCACAGTCTGTGAACAAGGAGCAAAGTTTAATTAGTTCTTGTTTACAGCAACATTACTATAGTTGCCCTTATAATATCACATCATAAGATACACTAACATTTTGTGTATAAAGAAACATCCTGTGTGTAAAGAAAAAAAAAAAAAACACCTCTCAAATGTGTGAACTTAATTATAACGGTTCATAAACATAAAAGTTAATACCGAACATTTTTCGATATTATGAAAGCACATTAAATCCTTTAACAGATGTCCAACAGAAGAATGTTTCTCTTGCATATAAACAAAACAGTAAAAAAAAAAAAAAAAAAAACACTTATTGATTATTTTGTGACTGTTTGTTTTTTAGTGTTAAGCCGCGATTCCTGACGAAATCTCTTATGTTTTGGACAGAGCGACTAGCCAAAACAGGATGCTCAGCATTCTTGCACTGTTGGCATTCAACTTTAGTGGCGAGTTTACACCTTGCGATGTGGTTCCGGAAATGTCTCATTACTGCAGCGATTTCTGTTGGAGACCATATTCGTTTTTGTTTCCTTCTTGCATCATCCCTTTCAGGAGAATTTTTGCGAATCACTACAAAAGAGGAAAACAGGTTCCTGAACCCTCGGGTGAACACCATGATGGCCAGATCTCTCTCTTCTCCCAACCAGCCACACTCTTACCAACCCTTGTCTTTAGTCGAACCTTCTTGTACAGATTACTAATCCTTTGAGTAAAAAATGATGGGCTGCTGTTTTTGTTAAACATGTTTTTGCCTGTTTGTTTGTTTTAGTAAGGGGAGCAATTTATTCATTATGTTTGGTTGTGTTGTTACCATCCTTGTAAGATTGTGTTTTAAATGTTGGCCCATCCTGATGTTACATTCAACTAAAATATCAATTTGTAAATAAAACAATGAAATTAAAGATCTGACTTGTGTGTTATGGTTGCTTAGTTCCTGATATAGATAAGTAGTTAAAAACCTTTTATTCTCGTCATACCTTGAAATGAGCCTCCTAAGGCAGAGTCAACATCTGTGAATGAAAAAACAAAATATAACAAACAGTAGTAGTGCTTGGTTTGCATTAATTAAATTAAACCTCAATGGAGATGCTGGCTGAGTGAGATAGATGCTCATACCATCTGAGGTGCCTGGAGGTTTCTCAACAGGGTGCCTAGCCTTCTTCATTCCTGCGGTATGAATAGTATGGCTCAGTATAAAGGTTCTGATGGCACATGCTCAAACATTTCATAAATAGTTTTACACCGTGAAACTGTAATGAAACTGTAAATCTCTGTAAATTTTGTGATGGAGAAATTAAAATTTCTCCATCACAAACAAAAACGGTTAAAATTATTGATCTACACGACTCCCTAGTACAGTGTTTTTTCTGTATATGCTTCTGTGCTTTTACCATGTTGTTCATGCTCTTCCCTCCTGCTCCGCTCTTTGTCTTTCCTACCACAATCTTTGTTTAAAAAAACAAACAAACAGAAAAAAAACTGAATCCTTTAATCCTAAATTCAAAATCTTGTGTCATTTACACAATATAGCCCTTGGCCCAGACTCCCTCAGCAAATGTGCACTGTTGCCCTGAATAATTTAACAGCCCCAGCAATGCAGGGATATTTCACAACAATTTACACCTGCACACATAGACACAAACATTCACATTCAAACACAAGTTCAGTGAAGGCTCGTATCTGAGCCACACATACCACGTGTTGCCCCTGGGATCTTTTGTTAAAGACTAGTGCTTGTAATTTACTTGGCCATAAGCAACACAACTGGCAACTGTGTATATGCACATGCATGAGTGTAAGTGTGTGTTTTGTAGCTCGGTTTAGGCTGAGCAGCTATTTATGTCACATATATCCAGTATACTTTAGCTATGAAAATACAGCATGTGTTGACAAGATGTGAATTTTCCTATTAGGTATGCTTATTAGAGCATTTAATGTCAACTCTGTCCCTGGCCAGACAATGTGTGCTTACACACGTACAGTATGTACTGTGCTGAGTGAACTGGGTTGTGTAGTAGAAAAAGCAAAAAAATAAAATAAATAAAAAAGCCCAACTGATGCTTATTAGACCACTTAATCACTAGAGGAAAAGATGAGAAGGAGATAATTGGAAATGGATTAAGACATACAGACAGAGGAAGAACTGATGGTAGGATGGAGCCATCAAACCATCTGACAGATAGATAGATAGATAGATAGATAGATAGATAGATAGATAGATAGATAGATAGAGTTGTGGTCAAAATTGTACATACACTTTGCAGTATCTGCAAAATGTTTGTGGTCATAATTGTACATACACTTTGCAGTATCTGCAAAATGTGAATTATTTTACCAAAATAAAAGGGATTATACAAAATGCATGTTGTTTTTGATTTAGTACTGACCTGAATAAGATATTTCACATAAAAGACATTTACATATAGTCCACAAGAGAAAATAATAGTTGAATTAATAAAAATGGCCCTGTTCAAAAGTTTACATACGCTTGATTCTTAATACTTTTTTTTTTTTTTTTTTTGATAGTTGTTCTTGG